CTTCGCCAGTATATAGTTGTTACCTCTCTAAATTGGAGATCAAGTTCAGATCCAATTCAAATCCAGTTTATCACTTAATTTTTATTGCCAGAATGTTTGCCATGTATTGTAAAGCTACGTTGCACAATATAAAAAATTAGTGTCATTGAATTAATCTATTCTAACATTATTATTATGGATTAAAATCAAATTTTACCAATCAAAAAATAAAAACAAAGTTGTAAAGAGATATATAAATGTCTTAATGCAATCAGATATATGAATATTGATTGATTAATAAACTAGATGAACTAGAATGTGGTCGAAATGATTTAGTTTCCTCTAAAACAAAATTTTAAAACTACAATTTAAATTACCAATTTTGAAATTTGCAAACTTTTTTCGAATCTCATTTCAATTTTCCTCGCTCTCCTTCGTTCCTTCATTCCTCGATATGTTGACTAATGAATTGGATAGGCTTACATTTTAATGTTTCTTTTATTATTACCACTAGTATTTTCTTTCATTATTAATTTTCATAGAACAAAATGCGCGCTCGAATTGTTTTTAGTGCCCAAGTTGGAACGCGCATAGGCAGTTCAATATTGATAGTTAGTTGTGTCAAATTAATGTTTTTGGTTTGACTTTGAAGTTAACTACGCGTGGTAGTAAATATTAACAATAAAATGTGCTTGTGCTGCCTTTAGTGTCTGAGTTTGAAACACACATATACTGATCAATATTGGCACTATTACATAATACGTTAGATAGGTTTAGTACAGGATTTTGTAAGTTTGAATAAAGAACTAAATAAATTATTAATATATAAATGAAAAAAAAAAAGCAAAATCAACTTCAACGTCAAAAAAAAAATTCATCGTCATCAAACTCTAGTAATTGATTTATCATGATAGGATTTTGTACCCTTTAAAACTTAATTCTGATGGAGAAACATCAAATAAACCATTTAATTGTTAAAAAATCCCATTACGAAAGAATTTTTTGTTACACGCGTCATTCCATCAAAGGAATAAATAATATAAATCGTATCAGAGTCTAATAATAATCGAAAATAAAAAGCATATATACGTTTTAAATTATCTTTCACTATAATCCGTATAGCCACTCTCTAGCTCTTAATAACAACACCTCTCTCACTAAACAATTATTTTGTTAGATTTCACTCTAATTTAATATTCCTTAGACCCTTGAGAATAATTCCAAGTTATTTTTAAAATGAATGAATAATTAATTAATATTATTGATTCGCGTAACATTAATTAAATTGTTACTTATTCTAGTACTAGATTATTTCTGATATATTTCGAGGTTTTCGATCTATAAATAATTATTTTTCGTTTTCTTAGATTTTATAAAAACATTTATTTTTATATAATGTCTCTTTATATTAATAGAGTATCATCACAAGAAAGTAAGGAATTAGCATTTAAAATTTATTGTGAAATGTATCGTAATTCTTTTGCTAATTCTGATAAAGAAGGCAGAAAGGATTATTTTTTTTCATTAGTTGAAAAAAATGAGAAGATTTCCGAAAATGAAAAAAAATATTGTAAAGAAGAATTTAGTTATAGGTCTGAATTATATAATGCAATGCATAAAAAAGGAAAACCAAAAGAGTGTAATAAGTGTAAATTGACAAGATACTCTGATAAATTCTGCGAAGGTTGTATTAATTTACAATTACAAAGTCTTTTCACTACATGGACATCTGAAAATAACATAATTGATGATTTTATTCAACAATCTCAAATAAAATCATCTTTACCACACAATATTTTAGAATGGATACCTTTTGAACAATTTAAAAAAGTAACAAAGTTAACTGAAGGTGGATTTAGTTCAATTTACATTGCAAAATGGACAAGAGGAACTATTTATGATTATGATGAAAATAAAAATGAATTTATTTACTTAAGAGAGCAAAAAGTAGTGTTAAAAAGTTTAAACAATTCAAATAATCCAAAAAAAAGTTTTTTTGATGAGGTTGGTAGTTGTCATTCAAAACAAAAACAAACAATGCTATGTTATACTAATTGATCTTATATTTATTTTCAGGCAATAAATTATTGTAAAATTAAATCATCCTTGATTGTTAATTGTCATGGTATAACTAAATTCCCAGATAATGGAAATTATGCAATGATTTTAAATTATCATCCAAAAGGAAATTTAAGAGATTATTTGCAAAAAAATCATTTAAACTTAACATTGAAAAGAAGGATTTTATTCATTGGATGTTTGTGTGCTGCATTACAGCATATACACAAAAGAGGTTTCATTGTGATTTACATAGTGGTAATATATTATTGCATGGAGAACAGATTTAGGATTATGTGGACCAGTTAATGAAAAATTATCAAATAAAATTTATGGAATTATGCCATATATTTCACCTGAGCTACTTAAAGGCAAAATTAATACAATGTACTGAAAAGAATCTGATATTTATAGTATTGGGATGTTAATGTGGGAAATATTTTTAGGTCATCCACCATTTGATGATAGAGCTCACAACTATCATTTAATTCTTGATATATGTGAAGGTTTACAACCACCAATATTACCTGGAATCCCTGATGATTATGCACAAATGATGAAGAAGTGTTGGGATTTGGATCCATTAAAAAGACCAACTAGTATAGAGCTTTATGAATTTTCTAAAAATAAATATAAAGAAATTCTTAATAATATTAGTATTAGCAGTAGTCATAATAATGGCAG